GCGATGCGTTCCGAAGGCAAAGCTAATCGTGGAATTGCTTCGTAGTCTGACAGCTGCTGTAGTTCAGGATCGGAAATGATCGCACTGGAATTTCTTGGAACAGCACTTCTCGCAATAGGTCTCAAGTTCTGAGTAAGGTAAAGTTTGTAAGATCGAAAGTCTTACTTCAAGTTTAATTCATCAGAAGAATTCGGTCCAAGCGGCTCCCTGAACTTGAGTAATGGATTGAATTTCGAGTCTGTTTGGCCAGATCTGCCAAAGTAATCGACTTTGACTGATGCAGTTGACCCTTGACAAGTTGGTAAGTTTAGACTTCACCGCCAAATTTCATTTTTGAAAAAAAATAGCCAAACCTCGAAAAGATGTGAAGGTTGTCAGGGCAGTCGGTACGATAGTGCTTGCATGCTCTCCGATGTCGTTATTCTCACTGAAGGGAGCACTGCTCGTTTCAAAAACCTTCTCATCATCAGCAGCCAATGCTTGCCTTATTGCTGAATCGTGTATGAGCGTAGGAAATGGAATTTCGCTTTTGGGCTTTGGTGTCGTAATAGCAGCTAAATTCATCATCATTTCGGGTAAAACCTGCAGAAATATGCTCACCTTTTTCAGGAATATCCAGCCGAATATAGAGATTGAAGATTGGGCTCTTCTGCGTGAATTTGTCGTAATTTTCATCAAGCATAACTCTTTTCGATGATACAACGCATTCGAGCCGTGTAACAGAATAAGCAAAGGAATAGCAGAAGAAAGACGTCGCATTACGGCACAGTGACCTGAGATTCACTAATATTTGCAATATTCTCAAGAATTTCCTGAAATTCTCAAGAGCTTAGAATTATTTAGAGTTGAAGTTTCAAATCACTACCGCCACTTTTTTGGCTGTATTGCAATAATGAGGTCCACTTTTACGAAAAGAGATACTTAGCATAAGGCCTTGACCCATAGTTTGCGAGTTCAGTGGCCACGTGATTTGGCAATCTGCCAGATAAAGGCCCCATTTTTGAAGTTTTTTGCATTTTTCACAAAAATCGTAACTTTTCAAAAAAAGCTAGATC